TGATCAGCTCATCATCAAGCTCTGCAGAAGCCTGATAACGATCCTGATCATTTGAATCAGGTGTGTTGGAAGAGGGAAACATCTAAAACATGCAGGATTGCGGCCCTCGAGGACCAGGATTCGACACCCGTGCAGTAGAGCCATGCAGCTGGGTCACAGTTCCCCATGGACTGATAGTGAACATGGGAGCAGAATCTGGTCACTTCATCCTGGATAAGTGTCATGATGCCACATCAAGATAGACATAAACAAGAAAACAAGACAGGCATTGATTACATGGATTCTTACATTACGTCTGTCTGTCTTTACATAAAACAATCATGAATTTGGGTTCTTTCAGAGATCTATTACAGGTCTTCTAGAAAAATGATTTAATCTGCGGGGTCACAAATATACACACAGCAATTTAGATGATCATTTTTGGTGATGTAGAAAGTGTTAATCTAATTTTCTTAGTTTCATGGCCTCATAACTTTTTGTGAGTGATTCTGATTGACTACAGCTCCTCTGATCCAGTTTAAATAGAACCATCTGATCCACTCAGTCACAAACACAACAGGGAGTAAGTCTGAGGCACTCTGCATAGATCTGAAAAAGCAAATCACTGACTTGAACAAGCCTGAAAGTCACTTAAACTTTTGTTCATGACTGTATCTGTTATTGGACTGCTGCTTTTGTGGATGCATAAAAAATGCACACAGTTTCTTCTTGCTACGTCATAAGTGGAGGCAGGTACGTGGAGGATGGTCACTCAAGTGATTCCTCCTGTTACTATTTTAAAAGATAGCCCTACATGTTAGAAGATGACAAACCCAGTGTGTGTTCTGTGTTAAACTATATTCTGAAGGTACACCGACAATATTGTACTCTTCAGCTGTCTGAGTTTATAAAATCAAGTAGATACTTTTCAAATGTACAGTGATTGTCATTTGAACTTCTGTGTGTGTGCTTGTCTACAGTATCACCCAGACCGTCTGGGAGGTCAGTGTTCTTCAGAAGCAGAGTCTGGTGTGAAGAAGTTTCTAGAAGTTGATGCAGCTTGGAGGATCCTTAGTGACCAGAACACTAGGAGACAGTATGACTTGCAGAGAAGAGGTGGGACTTTAGATTTCACTTTAACGACTTTTGTTATTGGCATGTTTATTTTAGTTTTTTTGAAAACTTCAGTTATTATTTATGTTGAAATTTTAAATAGTTTTCTGACTGTTGCAGCAATCAGAAATAAACTAGACTGTCAGTTGTTTAGGCAGTTTAATCACTTGCTATTATTTAAGCGTTAGTCTTTTATTGCATTATTATTCATTATACATCACTTGGTGTATTGTCTCATCCTGTGTGAATGACAAGTGTTATGTGCGTGTCGTGGTGCTCTCTGGCACTGTGGGGAGTATCTCTGCCATGAGGACCATGAACAGAAAAGAGACCAATGTTGCTGTAACAGGCTACTTTATTGGGTACATCTTGCTAATACGGGTGAGACCCCCTTTGCCCTCAGAACTGCCTTAATTCTTTGTGGCATAGATTCAACAAGATGCTGTAAACATTCCTCAGAGATTTTAGTCCGTATGGACATGATAGCATCATGTAGTTGCTGCACATTTGTTGGCGTCACATCCATGATGCAAATCTCCCGTTTTACCACATCCCAAAGGCGCTCGATTAGACTGACATGTGGTGACTGTGGAGGCCACTGGAGAACAGTGAACTCATTGTCATGTTTAAGAAACAGTATGAGATGATTTGAGCTTTGTGACATGGTGTGTTATCAAGCTGGAAGTAGGAATCAGAAGATGGGTACACTTTGGTTGTAATGGAATGGACATGGTCAGCAACAAACCTCGGGTAGGCTGTGGTGTTTAAACAATGCTCAGTTGGTGCTAAGGGGTCCAAAGTGTACCAAGAAAATATCCCCACACCATCACAGCACCAGCAGCTGGAACCGTTGATGCAAGGCACGATGGATCCATGCTTTCATGTTCTTTACTCCTGAGACCTGGCAACGTTGTTCCAATCTTCTATTGTCCAATTTTGGTGAGCCTGCGTGAAATGTAGCCTCAGTTTCCTGTTCTTAGCTGACAGAAGAGGCACTCGGTGTGGTCTTCTGCTGCTGTAGCCCAGATGCTTCAAGGTCTGATGTGTTGTGTGTTCAGAGATGTCTTCTGCATACTTTGTTGTAACGAGTGGTTTTTTTGAGTTACTGGTGCCTTTCTATTGTCTCAAACCAGTCTGGTCAGTCTCCTCTGACCTCTGGCATCAACAAGGCATGTTTGCCCAGAGAACTGCGGCTCACTGGATAAGTTCTCTTTTTCGGATTATAATAGAGATGGTTGGGTGTGTATATCCCAGTACAACCATGCCACATTCAAAGTCAATTACATCACCTTTCTTCCTCATTCTGATGCTCAGTTTGAACTTCATCAGGTTGTCTTCGCCACATCTAAATGTATTAAGTTGCTGCCATGTGATTGGCTGATTAGATACTTGCATTAACAAGCAACTGAACAGGTGTACCTAATAAAGTGTGTGTGTGTGTGTGTGTGTAGGTGGGTGTTTTGTAGACTGCTTACATAACAGCAAAAGTTCCCAGCTGAAGCTACATAACATTGATTGTCTTCTTACAACAACTTAATCATGCATTAATACTCCTCCAGCACAGCAACTTCAGCAGGACTGGCCAGTAGACTCCACAGTTTGTCTGGAGGACATGACCTGGAACCAAGGTAATGGCACTCCTCCTACACTAAACACATACAAACAATAATGGTAGTTAGGGGGGCAAACATGTTTACCTTTCGCATTTAGAGTCAGTTATTTCTTCCTTATTCATAAGATCTCTGCACCAGCAGAACTTAAGTCCAATTGAAAGTGTAAGTCTGAATTCAATCCTTTTTGCTATATTGTAATTTGTGAATTCCACACTAAATGTACCACTTTGTGACACTACTATCTGTGACAATACAGTGCAAAGTGAGACCTACAGCACACAAACAAAGAGGAGGTGATGACCCAGATAGATTACACAACATTGGTATAAAATCTATCAAAAATCTGTGATGTTAGGAAACCCTAAATCATGTGACAGTGTATATTGTTATGTAATAATCCCCTAAATGAAAGCAGCATGAAATCACATTTTTGCCCTCATGTCTTTCATGTCAAGATAATTGTAACGATGTTGGTGTACAGCAACAGTGCTGTGTGTATAGGGAAAAACTAACAAATATTAAATGTACATTGAAGAAATAGTTCTCTTCAACTGAAGCACTACACTTTTGATTAAAACTAACTCCAAAGTGAGGTTGAAGCATTCAGTTTGTGTATGTGTACAAACGTGCCAATATAAAACTATGGTGCTGCAAGGTATACAAGAGAACAATTCAGTTACATTTTTTTTTGTGTCAGTTAATATATGTGTGTTTTACCATTCTGTGTGCTGTCAGTGCAGCTGTTTATTCCTGATGTGACAGCTGCATATTAGAACTGTTAAACTCGTTTACACATATCCAAGTTCATTTAGGTCTGATGAATGATCGCAGGTTCCCATAGCAAATCAAAGATTCTGAAAACTGTGGCTTTAGGCTCGACATACCTTGCGAAAGCGTTAATTTTGCGTTGTAGTACACCCCTGTGCTGGATCCATGTGATGGATCAGTACGGCTACATGAAGTTTGTATAAACATTCATGGATTTTGGAGAGCCAATCTTCTAGCACTGCCCTCGGGATTTTTACTTACCGATCTATGTTTGTGCTGTTCACATGTATACAATTTTTTGTTGTTGTTTTGGTACAATAAATCAATACATTTCGTCATTATACATCTTTATTTACTGTATCCACTTTTGGAGTAGCGTTAAATGTAATCATATAGTTGTCATGTTCATGATCAGTGTTTGGGATTTTGGTGATAAGGGCAGGCAAATCTTTTACAACTAAATTGTGAATGTGCATTGTTTCAGATGAGTGTGCATATACATACGACTGTCGCTGTGGAGGAGGATTCAGTGTCACTGAGGAAGAGGTGGACAAGGAGACTCGGAGTACACAGCAAAACGGTGAAGAGGAAGAATCAGAAGACGGACAGCAAAGAGGAGTGGTTGTTTGCTGTGATACGTGTTCCCTCAGTGTGTACGTCACATGGTCATTACAAGACTCAAATGTTAAATAAACGTTTCCCTTTTTTAATACAGTGCAGCAAATCAATAAAGCATATTGTTTGTTGATTTAAGTGGACACTATGAGAGTTTGGCTCCGTTGCTGGAGTGGATTTCGTGTTCTCCATCACTTCTGTTTACGTGCAGTGCTCAGTGGTAGAAGGCCAGGGTTTGTTGCAGTTAATGTAACACTGACAAAGTGCTTGTTCAAAGGGAATTGTTGAAATTGTCTGGTTTGACTTACTATGTGAAGTCCTCTGAGATGACCTATATTGTGAATTGGTGCTTTTTAAATTGAGTTGAATTGACAAGCATCTTAGATTTGACACCTATTAGATACCTGTATTTGTGCTAAAATGTAGGACAAAGTTAATTTATATTACTATAAAGCCAGAGGTTAAAATTAATGACCGATTATTCCAAGCACAGTACAGTCAGTATAGTATTTACAGTTGAAACCGGAAGTTTACATACACTGTGTACAAAGACATACAACCTTTTTTTTTTTTTTTCACACTGTCTGACATTAAATCAGACAGGGACTGGCTGTTTTAGGTCAGTTAGGATTACCAAAATTATTTCTATTTGCTAAACACCAGAATAATGAGAAAGATAGTTTTTTGGAGAATTTTTTATTACTTTCTTCAAAGTCAGAAGTTTACATACATTTCCTTAGTATTTGGTAGCATTGCCTTTAAACTGTATGACGTGGGTCAAATGTTTTGAGTTTCCTTTCACAAGCTTCTCACAATAGTTTGACGAATTCTGGCCCATTCCTCCTGACAGAACTGGTGGAACTGAGTCAGTTTGCTCCACACACCTTTTCAGCTCTGCCCACAAATTGTCTACAGGACTGGGATCAGGGCTTTGTGATGGCCACTCCAAAACATTGACTTTGTTGTCATGAAGTCTCTTTGTAACTTATCTAGCGGTATGCTTTGGGTCATTGTCCATTTAAAGATTCATTTACATCCAAGCTTTAACTTCCTGGCTGATGTCTTGAGATGTTGCTTCAATATTTCCACATAATGTTCTTTCCTCATGATGCCATCTATTTTGTGAAGTGCACCAGTCCCTCCTGCAGCAAAACACCCCCACAACATGATGCTGCCACCCCCATACTTCACAGTTGGGATGGTGTTCTCAGGCTTACAAGCTTCCCCCTTTTTCCTCCAAATGTAACAATGGTCCTTGTGGCCAAACAGTTCAATTTTAGTTTCATCAGACCACAGGACATGTCTCTAGAAATGAAGGTCTTTGTCCCTGTGTGCATTTACAAACTGTAATCTGTCTTTTTTATTTTTATTTTTGTTCTATTGGAGTAATGTGTTCTTCCTCTCTGAGTATCCTTTCAGCCCATGTCGGTACAGGACTGGTTTCACTGTGAATAATGACACTCTCTTAGCTTCAGCAGCGTCTTTCACAAGGTCTTTTGCTTTTGTTCTGGGGTTGATACGCACATTTCTCACCAAAACACTTCATCTCTGGAACACAGAACCCGTCTCCTTCCTGAGCTCTATGATAGCTGGACATTCCCATGGTGTTTATACTTGTGTATAATTGTTTGAACAGATGAACGTGTAACCTTCAGCCATCTGGAAATTGTACCCAAGGATGAACCAGACTTGTGGAGGTCCACAATTCTCTTCCTGATATTGTGACTGATTTCTTTAGATTTTCCATGTTGTCACAAAAGGAAGCAGTGTGTTTGAGGTGTACCTTAAAATATATCCACAAGTGTGCCTCCAATTAACTTAAATGTTGGCAATGAACCTATCAAAAGCTTCCAAAGCCATGACATCATCATCTGGGTTTTTGCAAATAGTTTGAAGGCATAGTAATATTAGTGTATGTAAACTTCTGACTTTGATGAAAGTAATAAAGTTCTGTAAAAAAAAAAAAAAGTCTCTCTCATTATTGACATTTAGCAAATAGAAATAATTTTAGTAAACCTAACTGAACAGTATTTCATGTTGTCACAACTTACTGGGAGTAAGCTATACATTTGTGGGTTTGGGCTCAAGGACTTGCGATTGCAAGCGCTCCACATAAAATACCCAGACCTATGGTCACCTCAGTAAATCTAGTCCACTGATCAACACTGGGACTATAAGCACTTAAAACTTAACAAGTTTGTGCGTTTCCCCTAAATACACTTGTATACGTGCCTGTGGACTACATGACAGTACTTAGTGGTAGTAATGAAGTAAAATCCTACCATTTTTATGTGTATGACCATCCATATTCACTGTCATGAGGAACTCAGACTGTGGAAAACCACCCTAGCTACCAAGTTAAAGCCACCTACAAAGATTAGCATCAAGTGTGGCAAAAACCAAGGAGGTGTTTTGTCCCCTTTGTTGTTCTGCATAGGTCTGAATCCCCAAGCCAGATCGTCACAAAGAGTGGCTTCAGATACTGGTTACAAAGTGGAGCAGCCACCTTCTCCACATGGATGATATCAAGCTGTATGCCAGAAATGAACAAGACATTGACTCACTGATCCACATCACCAGGATCTACAGCAGTGACAGTGGAATGTCATTCAGACTGGATAAGTGCAGTCACATGATATCAAAGAGGGGCAAGATGATCACCACTGAAGGGGTTGAACTACCAGTAGGCATCATAGCAGAGATTCACACCAGCTGTTAACTCCTTGGAGTTCTACAGACAATGCAAACCATTAGGTAACCACAAGTAAGTCAGCAACAGCCAAATACCTGCAAAAAGTGAGGCAGGTCCTGAAAAGTCAGCTGCATGGACAGAACAACATATAAGCTATTAAGACTTGTGCCCTGTCACTGTTTAGATACATATTGGTGTATTAACCTGGCCAAAGGAAGAGATAGAGGCCACTGATATCAAGACAAGGAAATACATGGAGGGTGTCATCCCAAGTCCAGCACCCTCAGACTGTACATAAAGCGGAATGGGGGACGGTGTCAACTACTGAGTGTCAGGGCCATTATCTGAAATAAAACAACAAAGATTACATCAGGAAGCTGGCCTCTAGTAATGCTACATGAATACCTCAAGCAGCAGCTGCTCCTTTCATGATTGTCCTTCTTCCTCTTCCTCCTCAAAGGACCAGCCGCTCCAATGCATGTACGACTGACAGAAGAAATGGTGGATATCGAGAAAACGTATCCCTTGGTGGAAAAAGCTGGTCTGAAAGACAGCACAGAGGCCCCAATCATGGCAACACAAACCTAATAGGCACTGAGCACAAGATCAATAGAGGCTGGCGTCTACCATACCAGACAGGACTCCAAGTGCAGGTTGAGCAAAGATGCTTTTGAGACAGTGCAGCACATAACAGCAGGCTTTAGGATGCAGGTGATCACAGCTTATTTGAAACGCACCAAGTAGCTGGCATAGTGTACAAAAACATCTTTTATTGGTCTCTGTGACATAGATTCAACAAGATGCTGGAAACGTTCCTCAGAGATTTTACTACATGTAGAATGGTAGCTTCATGTGGTTGCTGCATGTTTGTTGGCTTCACATTCAATTCAATTTCAACATGTGCTATCTCACAGCGCTTAACATGGTAAGACGGTAAGACTCCTTCTGAGCAAGCAGTTGGCAATGGTGGGAAGGACCCAAAAAAAAAAAAAGCTCCTACAGAACCAGCCTCAGGAAAGGCCGCCATATGCCTCGACTGGTTGGAGTTAGAGTGGGGATGAGGGGCGTGGGGATACCAGGATAGTACACAGAGAGAAGCAATACAAACAGAACAATAAGTATTTTAGGGGTCGGTGAGGCCAGCGGCTACAGATCAGAGATGTGAAGCTCCAGATCCAGAGACGTCCGCAGAGAGAACAAACACAGGACCTCATCATCGAGGGAAACACAAAGTTAGTGACATGTAATGGTGGTTATAACTGTATGGAAAGAAGAGAGAGGAGAGGAGAGGAGCTCAGTACATCATGAGAATCCCCCAGCAGTCTAAACCTATAGCAGCAAACTAAGCGACACTTCAGGTGGTCCTGAGTAGCCCTAACTATACACTTATTCAAAGACTGACACCCACAACCATGCCACGTTCAAAGTCAATTACATCACCTTTCTTCCTCATTCTCAAGCTCAGTTTGAACTTCAACAGGTTGTCTTCACCGTGTATAAACGTATTCAGTTGCTGCCATGTGATTAGCTGATTAGATATTTATGTTAATGAACAGTTGAACAGGTGTACGTAATAAAGTGGCTGGTGTACATATGCACAAAACATGTCTTTTTCCCTGTCATCACGAGTCTTGCATAGATGAGTGTTTATGTGTTTTGTTTGGTGTCCAGCTCTTAGCAGTGATAATACTGCTTTTAACAGTGTTGTAAATAAAGGTTATCATAAGGACCAGTGAGGTCATCATGGGGATTGTTCTGAGGTAATGTGATGCAAATGAAATATAAGATAGTGGTCTGTCCCCTGAGGAGTCTAGCTGCATGGTTTTCCTTAGACACAGAGTGTTGAGTTTGTACACTACACACTGTGGTCTTTCCTACATGTCTGAACCTGTCTGTTAGCCGGCATGATGCTGCTTAACATACCTGATGCTCATCACACACACATACTCCACAGAAACCAGCTGAGTGAATAGTTAATACAAATATAGGTCCATAGATAACATAAATGGTCCAATTTTGCTCATTCCATCCCTCATTCTTTAATATTTTTTTGCCAGATAAGATGATAGAATAGGACAGTAACAGTAACACAAAAACTACCTCTGAAAATTACTGTCCTTAAAGCTCTATTTCAGATTATTATTTGATAAAATAGGGTACTACTAACCTTAATGAGGGATTTTAGCATTGTATCCACAAAGCACGGTATCAGCAGCAACATTCATGCTTCTTAATTTCAGATTGTAGGTGTGGCGGCCCCCAGGGTTGGCCCTATGTTGTCTGCTGTTGCCTGTTTTTTTTCCCCTTTGTTTCAGGAGGCTGATGGGTGGAGCTGAGGCATTTGCAGTGATGCTGCACACCTGAGTAGGAGGGATTCAGAGGCTATAAATAAGATCTGTATGAGCTTCTCACTCTCTTCCCTTGGCCTGCTGACATAGATT